CTCATGGCCGGCGGGACCATCAAATTCCATGTGTGCCATCCTCTCCTGATCGCGCAGGGTCTCCTCGCGCACGATGATTTTACGATCCCCAATCTCAAAACGGTTCATCATCTCAATGGCCTTCTCCGCACCCTCAATAGTCTTGAATTCCATGATCCTGTAGGGAGGTAGGGGTTAGAGTGTGAAAAATGAAACGACGTCACGAACCCCATGCCATTTGGTCGACCATTGCTCTTCATGAGACGCAGGAAACCGGTAAAGCCGACTAAAATATTGAGCTGAGCTGAACTGCCAACGGCCTACCTCGGTCGCGAAAAATCTGCTTCAGCTTGGTCCAGGTCACATCGTAGGGGATATTGGCGATGACGACTCGCTTTGAGGTAACCCGCGGTCTACGAGGCGACCGACTTCTGGAGCGAGAGTGCGATCTGGAACAGAAGATGCATGAATAAAAAGCGGGTAAGTAAGTTTAGAGATTTCAGCTTTTTTAGGTGTGCGCGATACTGCCACTTTTGATTATCAATAGGGGTGAATAAAATCCTGTGTGCGTAACGGCTCAATTAGTCTATAATTAAACTGATTGACCCCAGTAGAAATGACGGTTCGGCCGTCGGTTTCGATGGGGTCTCCCACACAATGTGGTGGTGGTGGTGCAGGGACGGGGTGACTCAAACGTGACTTAGTTTTGTGATAGCAGACTTGCGATGCACTTACCGCACCCACTCTCCGCTCACACACTCACCTGTGCCCGATGTGAAGACAGAGTCAAGAAGACCGGAGACCGGAAGTCGGGAGCAGCGGAGGGGGGGGGGTTGGTGGGGTGTAAGCCTGCACCTACGCGTGCTAGCACGCTCCCTCCCCCCTCCCTACGGTGGATCTATCTCCCCTCCTCCACATTTCTGTTTTTGACGACAAAGCAGCCCCTCCCAACCACGCTGCTCCGACTGGGTAACGCATCAGTCAATTCTACCTGATAGTGGATGTGAAATCAGCCCTGAATTCAGAGTATCTGACCTGGAATATGCCGATGACATTGTCGTACTCGGTAAAGCTCCTCAGCCGCTACAGCCAACGCTAGACCAAATCACCAGCTTCGCTGCAACTGA